CAATGCAATTATGCCACTCATTTTGTACCCGTGGTGCCGCCTTCGTTGCCGTAGATTGAGTTTGAGCTTGGTACGTTGGTCAAGATTGTCTGTGAGGGCCGCTCCCCCGCTTCCTGATCCTCCAAATTGTGCTGTTCGTCACCGCCTTGCTTCTTCTTCTCCTTGCCTCCCCCTCCTCGTCTTGTTCCCGCTGGCGCCCTCCATCCGGGCCCAGGAGTCGGCTCCGCGGGGGGGCTTCGTGGGGGGGGGGGGAGCAGGCTGTTCTCCTGCCCTGGCGTGCTTGCAGACAAGCGGGGGGAGGAGGGCGGGGGAGAAAGCCGGGGCCTGTTCATTCTCGAGGAAGCGCAAGCATGGCTTGAGGCGCGTGGATCAGCGACTGGTCCCGCTTCCATCGAGAGTGGGCGCGCTCCGTCGCCAAATCAGGTGGCGCTGGCCTCATGGTTCAGGCGGTACCCCGCGCGCCAGGCCCACGGATCCGTAATTCATGCCGGAGTGCGCCTGGATTCTGAAGGAGCCGCGCGCCGGCCCCGCGCGTTTTGCTTTTGCCTGAGGTGTCGGAGCGGGGTGTCGCGTACAGCCAGCGGCTCGGCCACGGCGATGGCAGGTGCTTCAGGGGCTAGATCAAACACGGGCAGGGTCGGGACAAAGTTTGGCTGGGATAAATTGGACAATCTCTGAGAGCTGGCGGTTCTGAAGGATGTATCGGGCGCCACGGCCTTCTCAGAGCGTACCAGAACGTTTTGAGAGCGCTACGGAACGCTCTGGAGCGATTTTTCCCGACCTTGGACCCGATTTGCTAGAACGTGCGTCCGACCTTGGCCGCGCGAAATTCAAGCCTGTTGGAGGACAGGTAAGAGAAGAGGGAAGCGGCGTGAAGGCGTGTGACGGATAATGTCCCTGCAGGGGCGAAAAGGAGAGAGGATGCCTTAGGGTGTGAGGTATTGCGATGACCAGTCGTATCGCTACGTCATCGGTCTATTGTTCATGTACACTCATGGCAAGTCTAGTGAATATGTTGTTTCGATGATCTGGACACACGGTCATGGCGATCGATCGTAATTAATAAACGTATTCAAGTGGCCGCTCCGGATGCTACAGTGCCTGCGTGGGAAGCTCGTGTGCTTGTTTTACGCTTGAGATGCTCTGGCCTCGCTTCTTAGACCCTACGCCCTAGGCCGACGTGCCCTAAGCCGAACGTGCGAGGGCCAGGTCCTGAGCCTTCAGCCTCACACGCTGGGTCCCCTTCTCCAGGGCCGCTGCAGGCAGACCTGGCGAGGTGATGTGGCATGGCCGCGGACTTTGAAAACATGTAGCGCAAACAGTCGCCCATGTTCTGCCTCAGGTCCTAGCTGTCGCGAACGTGGTCGCTTGGATTCCGCATTCATTCCACGTGGGTAATCACATCCGCAACATGTTGTTACAACGGTAGCCGTTATCTGCGCTCGGGAAGATGATACAACAAATTACGAAACGACATTGCGAAACGCAACATTGACAAATCTCGATCAGGCTGCAAACGCGTGCCCAAGAGTGATCGAAATGTCGCAACGCGTTTCAAGGTGGCAGCGTCGGTAACGTAGATATCGGTGGAATGTTAAAGCCCGAAGCAGTGCTATCAAAAGGCTCGTGAACAATGTCAACCATCACTGATTAGCAGTACCATCGGCTGAAGCTTTGATTCTGTGGACTTGCTTGAACATTCAGTTGAATGCAAGTTGAATAGATATCACCACCTCGAACGACCACCTCACATGTTCGGTCACTTAGAGTGGCCACCACCCTTGGTCGGGCTGTGCGTCGGGTCCGAACGGGCAGTACGCCCCTGCTTCGAGGATGGGGACCCGCGGCCGCCATGCCGATGGCGTCTCCCAAGGTCCCCCCCCAAGAGAGGTGGCCTCCATTCGGCGGAGCGCTGGGGGGGGGGGAAGTGATTGGGGGGCAGGCCTTCTCAGAAGACGGCGGGGCTTCTCAGAAGCCCTCGGGCCATCTGAAAAGTCGTCTATGGCTTTTTGAGAAGGCGTAGGGTGCTTCTCAGAAGGCCGGAGGCCTCCGGAGCGTTCTGAGAAGGCCCGCGGGATCGCGGTTGCGAGATCAGTTGGGTCGTTGCGAACCCGCTTGCCTACGGGCAGGGCGGTGGGTGATCGGGAGGGCGAGTGGTGGGCAGGTGATTCGATACAACCGACATGGATATGGAAAGAATGAGGACGCAGACCGCCAGCAGTTTTTTATCCATTTTGAACAGGCCTTGCTGTCTGTATCACCGCGGGCGTTGTCCATTTCATGCGCAAGCCCGCCTGCCCAGAAGCGGCTTGTGTCGATTTGGGACAGCATTTGGGCATCGTACCCATGTCGTATGTACCCGTAGTGGTGGGCGGGCGGTGGGTGGGCGCAGTATTTTTTGTGCTCGTTCTTGCTCCCCACCAGTGTCCAATCCCAGGTTCTGCCCGGAAACGCGTTGAAAGCCTTTCTGCCATTATCGTATGGTTTTCGTTTCCGCGGGATGAGTGGGGAGGCGGTCGTTGGGCGGGATGCTGGGCGGGCAGGCAGGCGTGTGGATCGTGGGGAAGTGACGGGTTAGCGGAGCGATCGTGCCAGGTCATAATTTTGCCGACCAAGTCGCAAGTCCGACCGTGCCAGGCGACCATCTAGTTGACCAAGCGGCAAGACCGACAATTCCACGCAAGCATTACAAAGCCTCCGCGGGCGCCGCGGTCACCGATCCTCAAGGCTCCGTCGCTCCCGCCACCACCGTGACCCCCTAGGAGGGCGCTTCGCGCGAGCCGTGGGCACCTGGCAGGGGCTCCCGCCCTCTCCCCCTGGCCCCACTGCCCTCCTGAGCCTCCCCTGGGCTGGGCCCCACTTGCCTCTTCCCCGGGCCAGGGAATAATATAACGGTGCGGATAATTTGTGCGAGTGAGATTATCAATCTTCACAGGTACATGATGGGAAGACGGGAGCGGACATTCATAGCATTATTTCCCCAATCAGAGCTTGCCTCTGTGGGGGTCCCAGCGGATTCATTTGGTTAGGTGAGGTGTGCCACCGCTTTCCGCGGCCCGCCTGGGTGCCTGGGTGCCTTATCAGCCCTGTAGCCCTATAGGCCTATAGCCTTATAGCCCTAAAGCCCCATAGCCCAATAGCCCTGTAGCCCATAGCCTTATAGCCATATAGTCCTATAGCCGTTTACCCTTACAGCCCTACAGCCCTATAGCCCTACAGCTTTATAGCTCTATAGTCCTATACACCTATAAACCTGTAGCCCTGCAGCCCTGTAGCCCTATAGCCCAATAGCCCTATAGCCCTGTAGCCCTATAGCCCCATAGCCCAAATAGTGCTATAGCCCGATAGCCCAATAGCCGTATAGCCCTACAGCCTTATAGCCCTGTCGACTTGTAGCCCTATGGCCCTATAGCCCTATAGCTCGATATATGCCTATAGCCCCATAGCCCCCTAGCCCCATAGTCCTATGTCCCTGTAACCCTATAGCCCTATAGACCCATAGCCCTATAGACTCATAGCCCTATGGCCCTGTAGCCCTATAGCCCCATAGCCCAATAGCCCTGTAGCCCTACAGCCCTATAGCCGCATGGCCCTGTAGCCCAATAGACCTATAGCCCTATGGCCCTATAGCCCTATACCTGTACAGCCCCATAGCCCCTATCGCCCTATAGCCCAATAGCCCCATAGGCCTGTAGCCCTAAACGGACTTGATTTGGGGCTTTCTCCGGTATCATATTAACAAGGATGGAAGTACGAACGCTAAGAATATTCATAACGAATAATGGCATCCACACTACTACTAGTTCTACTACTATTACTCCTGCTACTACTACTACTACTACTACTACTACTACTACTACTACTACTACTACTAGTACTAATACTACGACTACGACTACGACTACTACTACTACTACTACTACTACTACTACTACTACTACTACTACTACTACTACGACTACTACTACTACTACTACTACTATTACTACTACTACGACTACTACTACTACTCTACTACTACTACTACTACTACTACTACGACTACTACTACGACTACGACAACAACAACAACTACTACTACTACTACTACTACGACTACTACGACGACGACGACGACGACGACTACTACTACTATTACTACTACGAGTACTAGTACGACTACTACTACTACTACTATTACTACTACTACTACTACTACTACTACTACTTCTACTACTACTACTACTACTACTACTACTACTACTACTACTACTACTAGTACTAGTACTACTACTACTACTACTACTACTACTACTACTACGAGTACGATTATTCTTGTACTCCTCCTACGACTACGACTACTACTACTACTACTACTACTACTACTACTACTACTACTACTACTACTACTGCTACTATTTCTACGACTACTACTACGACTGATACTAAAACTGATACTTATACGAATACTAATACTAATACTAACCATCACACTGCCTATAATGCTATACATGGTACTAATACTAACGAGTTTGATGATGTCGAGGCGAAGAAAAATACTAACCATACTAGTCATGAGAGTACGAATTCAAGTACTATAATTGCTACCAATACGATTGCTATGGTACTAATCGTAGTAATAAGAATGATCATAATGAGCTACCACGCGCACCCAACATGAAACCAGTTCGTTTGGCCTGTTATGGAAGAGGTCCTCAGTCCTGCTGCCTGCGGCACACCCTGACACCACACCTCTCAGCGTTGACATGCGTGCACGATGATGCAGGATGGTTATACCGATCCCACCCGAATGGTGCTCCGTAGAACCATGTCTGGGGCCATGATGAAATCATCGTTACGATGTAGCGTAGCGTACCCCCAACGTTGCATGGTCGTTGCGTTGCTTCTTGGGGGATGATTGATAGTTCTTTGGGACCTCTTGGGCTCGTCTTGGGACCTTCTCGGGCGCCTCTCGTGGGGCTTCTGGGGGGCCTTCCGCGGATTCCTGTGGGGTCTTGGGCGCGATGGTTTTACCAAACTCTCCAGAAGATGCTCGGTATAACCATCATGGGGTCGTCTGGTCGAGGCTTGGGTCTGTCTTGGAGCCTTATTGTGGCGATCTTGGGCTGTCTTGGGGGGAGCAGGGTTGGCATTCTTGGGGTCGTCTTGTGCCGTCTTCGGAGGTTCTTGCCGTGTCGGAACAATCGAGATCTTTTCAGTTACTATCTCACGCCGCCAATCCCCAGACACAATGCACATGAACATGTTTTCTGAACGCTCACCCTCCCAGCACTTTGCTGCAGGGCTCCTTCGTGCCTTTGAGGGGCTGCTTTGAGACTCTGGGGGTCTCTTGGGCTGTCTAACGTCTAACTTCAGAAACTCGACCAGTCTGCCAACAGGCATTCTAACGCGCCCTTGGGTGCCGAGGGCAAGGCGGCGGGGCGAGCTACCTTAGAAACTCTTGCCCTTCAGTAGGACCATCGCGGAATCCCGTGAAGCTCAGGGGGGAGTGGGGGGAGGGGTTGCTTGAAGCTTTCTCAGCCCGAGCCCCCCTTTGATCTCCCTGCCCTCGTCCTTTTGATATGCGCCAAGGGAGGCCGGGGCGTCTAGCCGCTCCAGGTGCATCCGGCAGTTCACGCCGCCGTGCTGCGTGAGCCTACGCCGCGACCTGCCGGGGTCGGGGGCGCCGCTCGAGGCCGCGTTCTACCTGGTGCCCGTGGGCCCGGAGGAGACGCGCGTGATCTTCTCCTTCCCCGACTTCGGGCCACCGCCGCCCGCCGCCGACGCGCCGCTTGGGCGGCCAGAATTGCCCCCGCTCGACCCGCCCCTCGAGGCAAGAGGCCATAGCGCGCCTGCCGTCTTCTTGGGTTCTCACCAGCCGTCCCTGTTCCTAAGATTGACACGCCAAAAGGCGATGATAATCTTAGGGATGCGCCCTCAAAAACTAAAGGAATCCCTAAGACTGGCATCGTGATGAGGCGATGCCCATCTTAGGGATAGGGATATGTTCCAGGCTGATCAGGTTCGTCGTGCCGAGAAGATGATCTACCGATGCCACTATCCTTTGCCTCGTCGCCACGGCTGGATTCCTGTCGAAATTCTGGTCAGAACACATCCCTGGTCAGAACACATCCCTGGGAGAGGTCTGGAGAGCAGCGGTGTCTGTGCCTGTTTGTTCACCCATCTCCTTCCTCATGGATCATGTGTGATGCACAACGACGACCTCCCCCTGGCACAACAGGCCGACATCAGCTGCTACGGTACGGCAGGTCCGCGTCGTGTCGACGCGGCGGTGACCCCGCCGTGGGCGTTCAAGGTGGAACGCCGCCAGCGGCCCAGAATCGGTCGATCTGGCGATCGGCCGCTTCTGGTCCAGCCTGGAAGATCTGGCGGTCGAAAAGCCGCCGACCGTTCCTAGGGGAGCGATCCATGCGGTGCCAGACACCGACGCCGGGATTGTCACAAGTAGTAGAACATAAGATGAAAACTCGGATCGGCGCTGGACCCCCTCCCTGGCGCGCGGCGCGTGCCAGGGGCGGCGCCGGAGGTGCCGCAAAGGTACTCCAGCGCCGACCCGAGAAATCTGCGCGGACCTCTGAGTTGTCATGTTTATTCGATTGTTTGTCCCCCTACGTCACGACACTGGCGCAACCCGTCTTGCTAGCCCCCGTCCACCCGAGGCGCAGGACCCGCTCGCGGACCTCCTCTACGCCGCCCAGCGCGCCCGCGGTGAGGGCCTCTGGCGCTTCGGGGCCCGCGACGACGGCGACTGGGAGGCGCGGGCTGCCGTCAACCGCTGGCTCGACGGCGCGGGCAGGCCCTTCGACGCCGCAGCGACAGCCGGCACGGAGGCACTGGGCCTCTCGGGCGACGAAATCTATACATATCCAGTGCCCCCTGACCGGGCCCTTCCTGGGCCCCGGAGCTGCATCAGAGAATGGTGTGTTCGGGATTCGGTCTTCTGCTATGTATGGGGCCAGCGGGGCCAGGCGGACAGCGACGACGACGACGAGGGCGACGAGGACGAGGGGGAGGAGGAAGAAGTCGACGACGAGGGGGTGGAGGGCCAGCACCCCCATCCGTCCTATCGGCCCAAGCCAAGAGCAAGGGGAGAAGGAAGAAACGCATCGGAGTCACATTGGAACCATCTTGACGCAATCTTGGGGTCAACTAGGGTTTAAAGGGGTCATCTTGGGGCAATCTCGAAGTCGTCCCGGATTCATGGGGTCGTTCTGGGGCCACCTCCGAGTAACATGGAGGTCAGCCTCAGTTCAGTCGGAAGACACTGGGTTCGTCTCGGTGTTCGTTTGGGGCCGCAGGGTTGCTCTGGGGTCATATTGGGGCCGTTGCTCAGCAGGGGTGGGAATCTTGGGGCGACAGGGGCAATCTCGTGATCCTTTCAAAAACCCTGTTGAGTCCATCTTGGAATCATCTTGCCCTTGCTGCCTCTCTCGCTGTCGTTGCTACAGATGTTGCTGTTACTGCTGGCGTTGAATCTGCTGGTGCTTCCTGGGCTGCCCGTGGTGCTGGTGCTGGTGCTGTGCTAAGTTTCGGGCCCTCTTGGAGCCATCTTGGGGCCCCTGCTGGAGCGCACTGGGGGCTCACTGGGATCGCGCTGGGTGCGCTTGGTGGAGCGGGGGGGGGGCTCCTGGGCACATTTCCTGGGGATTCGCTGGGGGCGCCTTGTGAACGCTCCTTGCGGGCGCTCCCCGTGCGCCCTGGGCACGCTCCTTGGGGCACCATGGGGCCCCACTTCGGGCGCCCTGGGAGCTCGCTGAGGGGCGCGCTGGGAGCGCTCCCTGGAGCGCATTCCTGGAGCCTTGCGATCGCTCCCTGCGTGCCCTGGGCGCGCTTCCTAGATCCCAGAGCGCACCAGCAGTTCACCGTGTGTTCCCCGCTGACCCTTCTGTGGGCGCCGTGGAGGCGCTCCCTGGCGCGCCCTGAGGGCGCCATGGGCACCCCCTGGGTGGGGCGTCCTGGGAGCGCCCTGGGTGCGCCCTATACGAGCGCAGTGCGGCGCATTCGGATCGCGCTGGGTGCGCTCCTCTGAGCGGGGGCGCTCTGGGAGCGCTCTGGGAATTCTTGACGCTTCACGTAACCCCACCAGACTCGCCGGTCCGCCGGTAGGTGTGGCCACCCTCCGTCGCTTTAGTTTAATTCGTCGCTGCGTGCCCCGCTTTGACTGGACTCGCCGCCGGCGCGCTCGCTCGCGGCCGCTGACAAAAAAAAACACCAGATTAGCTTTCGCTCGTAGCCCGGACTGACTTCGGACGCCGCCTGCGCCTTCGCTTGCGGCCGCGACCAAGAAAAGTACCCCCACCAGCTTACTTCGCTGTTTGTTCCTTGCTACGGCGCGGCCCGCCCTAGCGTGCTCGGCGTTCGACTTGCTTCGCGCGCCCGCGTACCAACAAAATATACACCAACCCATCCAGAGAAGATGCCCAGAGACGGTGCCCAGAGGATGCCCAGAGGACATCGATCAAACAAGAGGGGAGCATTACTTAGCGCTGCCCCTCGGGAGCCCCCAAAGTTGCCTTTTCGGTCGTTCCCGGGGCGCTGTTGGAGCGCTTTTGGGCGCTTTTGGTGCCGTCGTGGGCCTCTCTTGAGCCTCTCTTGGGCTATCTTGGCCCATTTTGGAGCAATATTGAGGACTTGGGTGGCCATCGGCAGCGAAAATGATAGAAACTAAAACACATTGATTCCCCTAGGTTTTGGAAGGAGGTTGTCCTCTTCGGGGCCTCCTGGGGGAGATCTTTGGCCATTCGGAGCCGTTTTGGAGCGGTCTTGTGGCCTCTTGGAGCATTTTGGGAGCCATCGTGAGGCATCTTGAGGCATCCTGGGGACGAGGAGGAAGAGGATGATGAGAAGGAAAAACATGATGACCCTCACGTGCGAGACCTCGTACCCGCAGGCTTGGAAAAGTTGGGATGATGAAGAATCGTTTGGTGACGGCTGGGGCAATAGTGATGATAATGCCGCTGATCATGGGGATGGTGGTGATAATGGGGATGTTACATATGACAGTGCGTGCGGTGTTGGTGATGATGATGGTAGTGTTGGTACGGATGGCGATACTGATGTTGGTGATGGTTGTTTTGCTGATTGTGGTGGTGATGGTGATCATGCTTATGATGGTTGCGTTTATAGTAATGGGGGTGCCAAAAGAGATGCGGGTGGGGGGGGTGCTCGCTGCTACGATGGTAGTCGCGGTGGACGTGCTGAGGGTGATCAAGACGAGGGGGGCGATTCGGAGACGGAGGATGATCGGGACGCGGATTGTGGAACGCCATGTCATGGGAAACGTTTGATATTAATATTGGGGGGGCCGTACTGAGGATGCCGAGCGTCATGATGATGACGATGACGATGACGATGCTGATAACGATGGCGATGACGATGACGATGCCGATTTGGATGACGGTGACGATGACGATGCTGATGGCGACGATGCTGATGATGACGATGATGCTTATGATGATGATGATGATGACGATGGCGATGAAAATGGTGATGGTGACGATCAATATGGTGATGATAATTGTGATGCTGCTGATGTTGATGATGATGCTGTTGATGATGATGTTGATGATGTTGGTGATGTTGGTGATGGGAAAAATGTTGATGAGTTGATGCCGATGATGACGATGATGATGACGCGGACCTTGTAGGATTCTATTAGATGCGGACGCAACTCTAGTAGCTCTACTCGGATTCTAGTAGAGCTTGACGCAGCTCTAGTCGGATTATAGTGGAGCTGGACGCAGCTAGTATAATTTCACTCGAGCTGGACGCGGTTCTAATGTGATTCTATTAGAGCTGGACGCAACTCCTTAGTAGGATCATATCAGAGCTGGACGCAGCTCTAGCCGGAGGGTTCTATTAGAGCTGCACGAAGCTCGAGTAGGACTCGCTGGACGCAGCTCGAGTAGGATTCTACTAGAGTTGGACGCATCTCTAATAGGAGGATTCTATTACAGCTGGGCGCAAATCTAGTAGGATGGCGCAGTTCTAATAGGATCCTATCAGAGCTGGACGCAGCTCTAGTAGGATTCTATTGGATGGAACTGGACGCAGTTCTAATCGGATCTTATTACAGCTGGCCGCTAGGGTGTTATTCTATTAAAGTTGGACGCAGCTCAAGTGGGATCTTATTAGAGCTGGGCGCGGTTCGAGTCGGATTCTATTAGGGTTGGACGCACCTCTACTAGGATCCTAGTGGAGCTGGGCGCAGCTCGAGTAGGATTCGATTAGAGCTGAACGCAACTCTAGTAGGATCAGATTCGAGCTGGACGCAACTCTAGTAAGTTTGTATAGAACTGAACGCAGCTTCGGTCGGTTTCTAGTAGAGCTGGACGCGGCTCTAGTCGGATTCTACCAGAGCTGGACGCATATCTAATAGGATTGCGCAGCTCCAGTATACTTGCATTCGAGCTGGACGCAGCTCGAGTGGGATTCTAGTAGAGCTCGGCGCACCTCTAGTAGGAGGATTGGATTAGAGCTGGCCGCAGTTCTAATAGGATTCTAGTAGAGCTGGACGCAACTCCAACGGGATTTAATTAGAGCTGGGCGCATGACTAATCAGATTCTGCTGGGCCCGGACGCAGCTCTAGTAATATGTTATTTGAGCTGGACGCAGGATTTGTGTTAGAGCTGGACGCAGCTCTAATAGAAGCCTATTAGAGCTGGACGCAGCTCTAGTAGGACTCTATTAGAGTTGGTTCAGTACGATTTTATTCGAGCTGGACGCAGCTCGAATGTGATCCTACTCGAGCTGGAAGCAGCCCCTGAAGGATCCCATTAGAGCTGGACGCAGCTCCAGTAGGACTGTATTAGAGCTGGACACACCTCCTAGTAGAATTTGGATAGGTTTGCTGTAGGAGCCCGCTTCGCTAGCGCGCACATCCATGTTGTGCTGAGATGTGAACTGCAAAAACTCAAATTGGAAATTCTTGTTTGCTCATTTCCATTAGCTTGTGGTGGTGCTGGTTGCGTGGTTGCGGTTGCGACCCCCCCTCGCAACTGGGGACGAGGTCGTGACGAGGGTACCACGAACCCGTCCTCGCCAGTAGGGGAGGCCAGGGATTTGGTATCTTGCCCCCAAGGGTACAAGAATCCCGTCCTCGCCTTGTTGTTGCTGTTGTTGTTTGCTGGTGTTGTTTCGTGGTGTTGTTGGTGTTGTTATTGCTGTTGTTGCTGTTGCTGTTATCGTCGTCGTTGTCGTTTCTTGCTGCGGTTCGCTGTCGTGCTAGACGCCGTTATTTCAAATGTAGGCACGCACGCCATCAAACAAAAACACAGATTGCACCACATTGATTGCACCTGACCGATTGTACCACGTAGGTTGCGCACCACCTCATCTTTTGCACAACACCAGTTGCACCACGTAGACTGCACCACACATATACCACAACATCATTGCACCATTAATGTTGCATCATCGCATGCTTGGAGGGCGAAAACGCGATGAAACGCGATCCCTGTCGGAACGGGCGCTTCCAATTCAAAGCATCGCATGTTTGGGCGGCGAGGCCGGCTTTATCCCTGGTTCCTGATCCCCTGACTGGAACGCGATCCCTGTCGGAACGGGTGGTTCCAATACAACTCATCACATGCTTGGGCGGCGAGAACAGCCAGATCTCTGGTTTCTAATCCCCGGAATGGAACGCGATCCCTGTCGGAACGGGCGGTTCCAGTAGAAGCCATCGCATGTTTGGGCGGCGAGAAGTGCCTGATCCCTAGTATCTGATCCCCGGAATGGAGCGCGATCCCTGTCGGAACGCGCGCGCCCCTTGCTATCAACGTGAACCGCAGTTTTTTGTTGGAAGGGGGGAGGGCATGCCCCCCCCCCCCT